ATAATGTCAAAAAATTAATTTTTAATAAATATATAAATTAAAAAAACGAAAACATCAACAATCAACTTTGTTTAAATAAAATAATATTTTATAGAATAGATTATACATTAAAAGTATAGTTTATTCCACTCAAGAGTCTTCCTTGAAAAATTATATAATTTTTGACTCTCGTGCACTGCTCCAAGGGTTGAGAGCAATGGCGGCGGGTTTTTCTCCTTAGGGTTTCTCTCTGGTAAAGGAGTTTCTTCATCCTTCTTTTCTTCTTACCCCTCCCTTCCTCCTCTTGATCTCCTCCTTCATCTTGTCACTATCTTGCTTTGGAAATTCCAACCCAAGAGACCACAAGGCAACAACATATTTGAGTTTTCTAGAGTTTACATCTGTTGATTTTCAAAGGCTATGATTGGAATTGATCTAACCAATGGAGTGAGTTTCTCCTATTTAACGGGCAAGAATCTTGCTTTGGTTGCATCTCCTCGGATGGGATCTTGGTTGGGTCGAATTCAACGAAATTGGTTCACGCCAATTTTCGACCAGCCAACCGATTGTAGAAGGGAAAGGATGATGTTGGTGAAGCCAGCTATGGTCTACATGGGAAGCCTAATATTCAAGCCGACAAAGGGGCTCTAGTTCCCTTAATGAGTTTCAATAGCATGGGTTTGCAAAGGATTGACAAAGATGAGAACATGATTGGGAGTAGATGGAGCCGACTAAGGAGTCTTGTGCTTGTCTGGAAAAGGCTCATACCCCTCTTGTTTGTTCTTTTCTAAGAACAAGTAGGGCAACAACTTGCGAGTTAGGGATTGTTTGTTGTCGGAATCCCTTGTTCTCCCTAGCAAGTTGGTTAAATAGGTGAGGATATCTAGTAGTTTTAATACTCATGATGACTCTCCTTTCTACATTAGTAGCCTTATTTAACGCATATAGCAATTGTAATTTTCAATCTCTAGTTACAAATGGCTTTATTTACTTAATTGTCTATATCCGTCACAGCAATAGTTTAAATTTGTTACTAATGCGATAGGTTATACTTTTGATTTTGTCTTTAGGCTATTTTGCTTTTAACTATAATGCCATGAAATGGAGATCTTACCGTAATTTCTTATTACTTAATATATTTCTCTATTTCCCATAAAAAAGTATAATTTACTCTATAAATTTATTTAAATATCTTTAATAAAATTATTCTTTATATTATTTTATTAAAAATATTAAAATAAATTTATAAAGTAAATTATATTTTTAATATATAAGTGTATATCAATCTCGATTTTCAAAAAATAAGTATAGTTTTGACCTTAAACTATATCATTTTATTTAATTAAAACTTAATTTAAATTTTGAAAAATTATTTTATTAAATATCGATATTTAGATTTAAAAATTGATTATATTAAAATATATAATGAGTTTTTAAATTTAAATATCAATATTTAATAAAATAAATTTTTAATTTTTAAATATAAATTGAGATATTAATCTCATTTATTCTAAAAAAACTTAAATCTCTTATTTAAATTATGTTAAAATTAATATACACCGTTTTGTGTTATATGTTCTTGTCATTTGTCAATCAGTCCACATGCACTACTAGAAAATAGAGTATAATCGACAGAAAATATTGTCAATTATAATCGACAGACATAATCGACAACCAAAACTACCGAATAAGCAGTGATAAAAAATGTTTATAATCGACAGAAATTTTTTCTGTCAAATACGCAACTATAATTGACAGTCATTGGTTGTCAATTATACTTTGCCAAAAAAAAAAAACAATTATCGACAACTATTAGCTGTTGATTATGCAACTATAATCAAGAGCTAATGGTTATCAATTATACTTGGATAGCTATAAAAAAAAATACAAAAATTCAATAAAATCAAGAATTATATTCATAATTTTTTT